TGGCCCGGTTTTTACCGCGAGGGAAAAAAAACACAAGGGGAGAGGGGAGAGAGACAGAGAGACCAACAAAAACAGAGGAGAGAGACAAGAGAGGGGAGAGAAAGAGAAGACAGAAGAGACCAAAAGGACAAAGAAAGACATACGAAACATACAGACAGGGCCGACAGGGCAAAGACAACAGACAGACAGACTGACAGACGACCGGCCGAGAGGTGAAAAAAACCCCATTTTGCCATTACCCGCTGCCCGATTTTGACCTGTTGGCCCCCCAAAAAAAGAGGGAAAACCCGTGAAGGGAAAAAACAAACCCTTGTTAAAAACAACCCATTTTATGTTTATTTATTTTCCCTTTGTACTTTTAAAAATATTTGCACATTGTTAAAAAAAAAAACTGTAATTAAAACCTAATATTTACAAATTTTTTAAAGTCTTTATTTTTTTTTGGGGAAATTCTAGTGTAAGGGTTTTTTTGTTAAAAATTTATTTTTTATTTTTACTTTTTTTTAACTATCTATTCACTTGCTTTGGCAAAGTTAACCAAACGTTTTTCCCATGGCCCCTAAAGCCCTTAAAATTTATTTAAAAATTGAGAAGGGCACAGAGAGAAACGGGGAAAGAGAACAAGAGAGAGAGAGGGGAAAAGGGGAAAAAGGGAGACCCAAAGAGAAGAGAGAGAGAAAACCTAATTTGCTCATCTTTTTGGCAGGATACTGTAAATACATATTTACTGGGCCTCAACCCCGATTCCCCCCAGACCGTTCCCAGTCAGCCCACTGACCCCCTTTTCGAACCACAGCAAAAAATCACAGTCCCACCCTTTAACAGAAAAATCTCAATCTGAGGGCCTCAAAACCAAAGGGAACCCGAAATAATTTAAAAATCTATAGAAGGAAATAAATGTAAAAACCCACCAAAACCAATTAGGAAACCAAAAAATTCAATCCCTTTTTTGACAAATTCCTGGACAAAAACCCTTCCCTTTTGTGAAGGGGTTAAAATTGGAATAGAAAAACCTAAACCCGCATATTTTCCTCTCACTTCCTTATCAAATCTAAAAACCCCTAAAAAAAAAAAACCGAAGAAAAAAATGACAAAAGGTTTTATGAAGAAAGGGAAAACCCCCCAAAAAAGAAATTGAGAAACCTATCCAACCAAAAACATAGAGACCCAGAAAACCCTGAGCCACGCCTTCCCTAAAGGGGAATCACCCAAAAATAAAACAAAAAACACTTACGGAAAAAAAAGAAACACACTCAGAAATAACTCAAAGTAAAATTTAAGAACCATAGACTCTAACCCTTCCTGGGGGAAAATTTGGAAAACACTAAACCAAAAAACCCAAAAACACAAAATCTATCTTAAACCAAAACTTGGGGAAAGTTGGTAAAAAACCCTTTTTCCAAGCTTTTTTGGGCCCCTTTAAAAGAGAACCCAAAAACAAAAAAAAAATTTCATGATCAAATGGGAAAACTTAAATCAACCCTTTTAAAACAAAACAAAAACCCCCTTTGGGTTTTTTTTTCCCCCAATTAAAATTTGAATTGGAAAACCCAAAAAACAAAAAACCCAAATACAAAACCCTCCCAACCCCCCAAAAAAGGGCCCTTGGGGTTGAAAGGTTATCTCCCAAAGAAATGGGAAAAATTACAGACCACAAAATTTCCCAAATTTGGGTATCTTAAAAGGGTTCAACTCATCCTTAGGCCCCTGGGATATTTTTTGGGAACCAAGGACTGAACCCCCCAATCCACAAAAAATGGAGGACAAATTTGACCCCCAAAAACACCCGGGGGGATATGTGTCAACACAACCTTTGGGGAAAAAATTTTGGGGATTTTCATTAACGCTAAAAGTTTTTAATTTTCCCCAGGAAAACAAATTTTCTGGGGCAAATGTCCCAAAATTTGGGAGTTACCACCAAAATTAAACCTTAAAACCCACAGACCACGTATTCCCACCCCTGCCAAAACCCTAAATTTACAAACAAAAAAAACCAAAAAAGGGGAAAGTCCCCCTCATGAATTTGGTGATTTTTAAAAAGCCTTTTTAGAAGGTCCTCTGTACTCCTGGTAGAGGGACGGGGCCCTTTTAAAACCAAAAGCGCTTGTAATGGCCCCAAAGGAGTGGGTTTTGTCCCCCGGGAAACCCCCCATAAAAAAAAATGGGAAACAAAGCATGACTGTAAAAAGTCGCTTTTTTGGAAAAAGCGTCTGTAAAAGGCATATTATTATTTTTATTATTATTTTTTACTCAAAATTTTGGGATGAGGGGCCAAAAAGCGTGCGGTTAAAATTGGCAAAAAAAAACACACATTTCTTTCCAAAGGGCCCTGGGGGGAGACAGGGACAGTTTTAAAACCCCACCCCTCTTCCAAAATCTATATCAACCCATTTGGCGAGGGGGAACCCAGAACAGTCCTTTCAGCACCCGGCTTCCCCTAAATAAAACTTAATCAAATTTTCTACTTTTTGCTGATGATCTGGGCTTCTGCTACCAACCAAGGGGGGCCTAACATCAGGGGACCTAGCTTCGCAACAGATTTTTGTCAGACCTGGGCCATGCAGTAAATCTCATAAACAAAAAATTTGGGGTTTCCAAAAAAAATCCAGCTTCCCGGACCACAAATACCATTTCATCTAGACAACCCCGGTTTCCCTGAGCCCCAAAAAAAAAAAACTATACTACCCTCGGCCTTTTAAAAATCAAAAGACACAGGTAACTTCCTAAAAAAAAAAACCCGTGGAAATATCTGGGGGACAAAGGGAAGAGGGGCCCTTTTATGCCATTTAAAAGGGAAAATAAAAATTTGACATAACCCCTTGGATCTTGGGGTTTAAAAATATTTTTAATCAATTTTTAAAACCCTTGGCCTTTTGGTTGTGAGGTCTGGAGTCCCTCAAACCCAAAAAGAATTCACAAAATGGACAAAAACCAAATTGAGACCTGCATTCAGAAAGCCCGGGGAAAAAAACCCTCACTTTGTGAATCCGTTTTTGGGGAGGAGAGAAGGGTTGGGCTTGCTTTTTTCCTCTGTGCTCAAATTGGGAGAGGGAGGCGCCCTTTTAAAGCCCGGGTAGTGGGTTTTTGATCCCCGGGACCCCCCCATACAAAAAAAAATGGGATGCACACATGCTAAGTCCGGGTTTGGGGGAAAAACCCCTGCTAAATGGCATAATTATTATTATTATTTAAACCGTCCCGATTGTGAATAAACCCTTGGGGGTAAAATTTACGGCTTCAGCATGGACCAATTTTTTAGAAATTTACACTTTAAAGGTTTTGTCAACATGTTTTTTTGTACCTTTAGGAATTAATGCCTTTTTTTATTAGGAAAAGGGGTTTTAAATTTTTAAAGGAATTTTTTCTCTTGAAACCATATTTCCTACCCTAGAAATCATGGAAACAAAAAATTTTTACTAAATTTAATACATTTTTTTTAAAAAAATTTTTCAAGTATAAATTATCAAAGTTTCCATTAAATTTCCATAGAAATTTCTGTTAAATTTTCCAAAATTACTGAAGATTTTCCAAAGGGAAATTTGGTAAAAACTTTGGGAGCTTTGCAAACCCCAGTAAAAGACTGTGCAAATTTCCCTCCTAGGCCCATCCTTGCTAGAGCACGCCCTAGTGGCCCAGAAGGGTGACTTCAATCCTATTTCCCTGACTAGAAGCAAACCCCCAGGGCCCCCAGAAGGAAAGACATTCCTCCTATCCAGACTAAAAACACACCCTAGTGGCCAACAGAAGGGTTACATTCATCCCCGTCCTGGGCAATAAAAAATTTTCATCTCAAATAAACATTTTCTTAAAATTTAAATCATTTAGGGAGACGCTCTTATCCAAGGGGCTTTCAGTTAATGAGTGGGAAAACATTTTCATACTGGGCCCCCCCCCGGGGAAAAAGAAAAACCCACAACCCTTGGGGGTTTCAAA